TGTGCAACTTCGTTTCTCGGATCGCAGCTATCAATATGCCATGCCAACCCACAAAGACGGTTATCTCTTCGATCTTGCTCTGGAGGCCGTTGCAACTCAACTGTAGGAGTTTCGTGTACCTTGGCGGGCTGGTCACGATTTGGAGGGTGAGAGAAGTGTCATAGATGCGGCACCCAGTCGAAGTGGAGTTCGGATGAAGTCGTCTCTGGCAGACGCAACAGAAGTAGTTGTCAGGTCGGGAATTGGGCTCAATGCCCAATGTGTTCGCCGATATAAATGGGGTTATGTCACCGAAAAAACAGCCCTTGATCGAGAAAAACTCGAGTAATTCCAGTACGTAGAATTGGCTGCCATGGGAATGGTAAAATTTTCGTCTGATTCGAAGATATAGGCCTTTCTCCATTTATTTTATTATCTCAACGATGGAAGGACTAACAACACAGATTAATTACTTCACAATTGAAATAAAATAACCAAAAAATAATATTTTCGAGCTTACAGTTTTACGCCGCCTTCGAACGGAAAAAAATGGTAGTGGTCTAACCACTCAGCCACAGCGGTCACCAAAAAATTCAAAATTTAAAAAATAGTTGTGCGACAATTGCTCGCAAAAATTAGAACTCTCCTCCACTTTGTTCCTTACCGCCAGCTATTTTGTTGCTTTTGCCTTTATGCTACTTGCGCCACAAAAACGGCCTAAGGTGTGGGATTTCCTTAAAACTATTCGCCAACAAAAGTAAGTACATATGTAAATAAATAAATTTTGCGAGACATAGAGCATGTATTTATGCATATACATACATATGTTTGTAAGTATGTATCCTCAAATGTGCCTTGAAAAAAGTGCGGATGATGAGTATGTGTTTATTAATGCCGCAACAACCAGAAAATAACAACAATTTCAGAGTGTGTACCACCAGAGTTTAGAAGTGCCAAAAAGTAACAAAACACAAAACATAAGAAAATAAAATGGCAACACAAAGCGGTGGCAAAAAGGCAACTAAGTACATATGTATGTATGTATGTGTGTACATATGTTGTGCATACAGCAAAACGTATGGGATGCGCGTCTAAGTAGTACGTGTTAGATGTTGTTTTGTTTTGGGCTTTTGCCAGTTGCCACAGCTATTGTTTTGTACGCAATAGGAATTTCCAGTTGTTGGTTGCNTTGTGCATACAGCAAAACGTATGGGATGCGCGTCTAAGTAGTACGTGTTAGATGTTGTTTTGTTTTGGGCTTTTGCCAGTTGCCACAGCTATTGTTTTGTAAGCGATACGAATTTACAGAGTTGTTGGTTGTCTTTTGTTATTGTTTCTCCCCGGTATTAGAGAGATGGTGTTTGTTTACCTAGCATACTTTTTTGCGCTATGTTTTTTTTCCTTCTTAAACTGTATACTATTTTTCAGGCATACATACATACAAAAGTTCATGGCAAGAAGAGCAAATACGCAGAAAATGGCGAGTCAAGACAGCAGGAGTAAATTCATACATACTAGCGGAATTCACGAAACGTCGCAAAGTTGTTGCAAATGTCGCATTTGTCGCAAAATTTGCCACACAGCTGATTACTTTTATATGGAAACTTTCTAGCGACAAAATTGTGNTTTTTTTTTTCCTTCTTAAACTGTATACTATTTTTTAGGCATACATACATACAAAAGTTCATGGCAAGAAGAGCAAATACGCAGAAAATGGCGAGTCAAGACAGTAGGAGTAAATTCATACATACTAGCGGAATTCACGAAACGTTGCAAAGTTGTTGCAAATGTCGCATTTGTTGCAAAATTTGCCACACAGCTGATTACTTTTATATGGAAACTTTCTAGCGACAAAATTGCGACATTGCCTTAGTATTTGAGCTGGCAGTCATTGCAAAGTCAAAGTCGCGAAACACATGTTTTTATTATTGTCTTCAAATACTTCAAGAAAAAGTAAATCAGTTAACGCCGCTTCGAAATATAATTGTAAAAACTTTTACATTTCTCTAACGCGCGACATTTAAAAAAAAATAATTTACATTTGCAATCCGGAGTTGCGATAGGTCGTTAATACAACTTTGTTCGCAACATTGCCATTTCGCGAAAAATGCCACTTTGCGACGTCTTATGAATCGCGCTACTAATACATACTAATACATGCTGTTTGCAAGACGCAAAAGTCGGTCGCCTGCTGACGTAAGCTCCCCTTTATGAAATATTTTAGAGATCTCTATCTTCAAAAGGCACTTTTTTATAGTCGCAATGCATGACTCCCCAAAACATTTTCAGAGAGACTTGCTGATTTTTCAGACGACCGGACAACCTAGGACAGTTTGAGTTGCGATTGTTGCCAATTCAATTTGTTCAATTTGGTCCATTGCTGCGCCGTTTCAAAGCTTTAAAGCCTTTCTTTTCAATCCTCAATGTGATGGAACCATCGCGTTGCCTTCACGAATCACGAAGCCGATATGAATTACTTCCAAAAGATGCAAAGTCGTGCTTACTCTGGGCCGTCAGTCACTCCACGCTACTAGAAGATATTGAGGCTTCCTTCGTTTTTATTGTTTGTTCTATACCGAATTTGGTAATTTTTACCAATATTTTTTTTTTTATTTTGAAACCAAAACAACAACTTTTAGTAGAAATGGTATAGAATTCTTGAAAGTTATTATTTTTCGATCGCAGAACTCTGGTTCTCTTCGGTAGACTTCCAATAATAATACCCAATTTTTTATTTAAAAAATTGTTTATACTAAAGATTTCTTATTGGTCCCCCCACAGCATTTGTAGGGATTTTTGGCGGACCTCTAAAATATAGTTACTATAAAAAATGGTTAAATAAGCAATTGGGTATTATTATTGGAAGTCTCCCGAAGAGAACCAGAGCTTCGCCATCGAAAAATATTAATTTTCAAGAATTCTATCCCATTTCTACGAAATTTTTTTTTCTCCATATAAAATACATGGAAACTTTTGTGCGCTTTGAACGACCTCTAAATATTTTTTGATTTCAAAAAAAAAAAAAATATATTTAATTTTTATCAACTTAAGCATTTTTAGCCTAGTTAGGAAAATCATCGCAGTTGTATTGAAATATCTTTGAAGAATTGTATCTTTATGCGCTTCGCTCCGTTCTTAAAAATCTGGCCGCAGCTGTAGCGCAAGTATTTTCGCACATTTTTATGTCAGCTTAGTCAAGAAAGTCTCCCAAATGCCGTAAAGGCTCCATCATTTAGTGCTAAAAAGACGCCGGTAAATCGCCACAAAAGCCCCCAGGCATGCGAAATACCAGGAAAAAAAGTACCCAAGTACATAGCGAAATGTCAAAGACTCGCATCTATGCTCTCTAAATTTCACACATACCTACAAGCGCACGCTCCCTCAGTTCAATTGGCTTCAAGCATCATTACAGCAGCAGCATCGGCATCGGCAATACCAACCATTCAAGCGATTTGACAATGACAGGATAATCATTTCTGATTGTCAATACACATTTAGTGCGATTTAGTGCCCGGAGTTGCAAGGATAATGCATGTAATCCGCTATTATGCGTCGAGCAAGCGATTGACACGCCTTCATTGGCACTCCGCACCGAGCAGTTGTCCAAGTTGTCCAGTCCATCCAACTTGGCTATTTCCAAGTTCGCCAAGCTGGCAATCAAGCGGAAGTTGTTGTTATTGCTTTACGGTCCTCCTCAATGCCAGCGTTTGCTGTTGCTATTGTTATTGCCACAGTATTGTTACAATTTGTTGTCATTATTGCTGCTGTTGTTGCCATTGTTGCATGTTTAAAATGCTTCGAAAATGTGTTGGATTTCTCACGATGCTCTCAGCGTACATAAAGCTCGCATTTGAATTTGTTGCCTTTCATTTTACGATCAGAGGGGTGGAGCGGTCGTTTTGAAGTGGCTGCCCGGTTGGTTGCCTGCCTGGCTTTTGCCCATTTTTTTTTTATGCTTCAAATGAACTGTAGTGCGTAAGTGTGAATGGGCTGTGGATTGTGAATTGTCGAACTTCAACCTCTAATCGCTTTTGTATTTTTATGCTACATTTAATATTGGCTTAAGAGCTTTGAAGCTAGCGCTGTACGAAATGACAAGTGCGTTGATGTGTGGATCTGAATTGGTTTTTGAGTATTTTAAGGGTTAAAATTACGTTGAAATAATGCCTTTGAAGAAGTTCATGAAAAAGCGATCTTATCTATCATGTATCTCTAGGAAATTTTACATAGGGAGTTTCTGAAATACTGCAAAAATCCCATTTTAAAACTCTTTTGGCTCGTTTCAAGAAGTTCGNAGGGTTAAAATTACGTTGAAATAATGCCTTTGAAGAAGTTCATGAAAAAGGGATCTTATCTATCATGTATCTCTAGGACATTATACATAGGGAATTTCTGAAATACCAATTTAAAAACTCTTTTGGCTCGTTTCAAGAAGTTCTATTCGATTCAAAATACTTAAGAAAACCTGCCCTTCCAAACAAATAGCTCTTTCGAGGCTTCTCCACAGAGGCAGCAGGCCCAAACCCAACTGCGACTCAGCCATTCTCGGCAATAGATCGGAACACGACCAGAAAATAGTTCTGGCCACAATAGACCAAAATTTGATTAAACAGTAAATGACAGAAACTCGTCCTAACATACATCATTCTCTCGCCCTGTAGGAAGAAATAGCCACAACGAAGACACATTAGAGCTATTCGGACAAAGTCCGTATCTCATTTTAGTATCTATTTATCTATTCTAGAGTTAAAAAAAAAAATCGATTTCATCCCAGAGGGAGTGTCGAATATCGTTTAGTCTTGTAATTGCGTAAAATTAGCAATCAGAATAAATAATGTAAGTGTTAAATCCAAAATAATGGCAACTGTGCTTGCGTTCTTTTCGACTCATTTGCAAATTTTCGTTATTTTTCTTTGCTGATTTGTATTATTTCAAAAATTATACTCCTTCCAACTACTTGAATAGACATGTATGTATGTATTTAAGTATGTAATAGACAAAGAAATTTACTTGGTACTCACCATCTTTATTCATGGCCGATTGAAAGCATTTAGCCAGCCGACAAGCACGACATTGATTGCGATGCGTTTTGTCAACGGGGCAGCGACCTTTTAGGTCGCCAGTTGCTTTGCAGGTGTAAATGCGATTCCGATGAATGCTGCGTTTGAAGAAGCCGGAACAACCTGTGGGAGAAGAATTGTTAATTTCAGTTGAAATGAGGCAAGGATTTAAGAAAGTGGCATTAAAATAAGGAACTAAAGTTTGATATGGGCCACTACATTGTGGATGGTGGGTGCATAAAAAGACTTCAGACTCGTAACATTTTTGATGGCGAAGAAAGACGCGCAAACTTATTAAATTTTTCCCAAAAGAGTTTTTGGGGAATGATGCTGAAGTGACAATCTTTGCCAAGCATAAATCTATGTTTATGCATCTTTCTTCGACGATGTTTTTCTTAAGCGTGTTTCTTGGTAAAATTTTTTACGCGTCTTTTTTCGCCGTCAAAAAACTAGCGCGCCTTTATTCGTGTCTAGTGACGATATATGCTATATGCTTTAGTTCTCATAAAAAATTAAGCTGATATAATCTTCATAGAAATAGTTAAAAATATTTAAAAGTGCGATTGGAGGGACAGATCCTTGTGACTGGTGTAAGTATAAATTTCCTTAGGGTGCGTGCACACAGAAAGCGCTGGCGCTGAGCGAGGCAAGGCGGCGAAGCGAAGCTGCTGGTGTTCACACCGAATGTAGCGGAGCGGAGCTTTTTACATGTAATCGGTCGTAGTTTTTCAATTTATATCAATACTTTCCTCGAAAAATAGATTTTCATTTAATCAGTTTGATTTTTTTTTTGTTCGCATCAGAGTCATGACGCTGAAAAATCAAAAAGAAATTTTGAAAACAAAAAAATGCTTTGCTTTCAGCTCCAAAATGCTTCTGGAAAAGCTTGATGTATCAGCACTTTCATATAGCTGCATTAATTTGAAAGCTCGGAGTGGCTTCGCTCGGCTCGGCCCCGCTTTATGGGTTTTTCAATTTTTTTTATATTTTTCCACAGATTTGTGAAATGTAGTCATTTAGCAAGAGGCACATCTTTAACAGGGAATGACACATATGCACTTTGAATATTATCAGAAAAAAGAATTCACCGTACACCGTAGCCACACTGGGTCCGCCCCATATAAGCGGGTGCTCAAAATTCTGAAATCATTTTCTTTCCATTAGACTCGCTTGAACTACGGTATAAGAGTAAATTTTTGACGTCTTAACCCATTATGGAATCATGCATTAACCCATTGGTGGCCCAGGTTTTTGTAATGTCTTATGTTACGTTAAATTGATTCTATTATTATGCAAATTATGGATAATTTAACCCATTTACGACTTTGACTTAACGTATTGATGACCATATTTTAACCCATTAGTGGCCACGTTTTTTATAGTCCTTCCTCAGCTATATTTTATTAAAAATAGGTAAGTCAGGAAGAAAAAGTCCTTCCGATTCGAGGATAGCTTTATCAGTGAATTCGCAATACTTAGAACTAGTGTTGGCAAGGATCGAGTACTTTTGAGGATCGAGTTCTTTAGTATCGATACTTATAAGAATCGGGTATTTTCGAGAGTAATGAGTACTTCCTTTAGATACTTATATGTACACGTGTTGGTAACATTTCAATGCTTAGTGTAGAAATCTCAGCACTTTCTTCAAATTAAAATATTAATCCAAAATTACGCCAAATGAATCGCTAACTTTACTGGGTACAAGTATTGTACTTGAAAGCTATTGGAACTTCAAATTGAGTACAATCATTTATGAATACCGGTAAATATAAATAAAACTCAGTACTTTTAAGTATCTATTCGTCACTTAATACTGAGTACTTTGAATCGATCCTGAGTGCATGCATCAAAGTGATGATTGGAACAGAGTATTTTTAAGTACTGAGTACTTTCGAGTCCTTTTAAGTTCTGAGTAGTTTTGAGCTCTTTTGTGAGTACTGAGTGCTTTTGAGTTCTTTTAAGTTCTGAGTACTTTCGAGTTCTTTTGTGAGTACTGAGTACTTTGGAGTACTGAGTATCAATACTTTTAAAAATCGGGTTCCGTCGATCCGTTTGGGAATCAAGTTCTGAGTACTTACTTTTGGTATCGATACTGCGCAACACTACTTAGAACTAAGTTAAAAGCAATAAAATGTAATAACGGTCATGTATGTATTTGTTGTAATCACTAGGAAAGAGCATGAAACAGGGAAAGTCATTTATATAGAGATCAGCTAGATAGTAAAATAGGAAAAGGATATAGAAATAAAAATTTACGATTCAATGTGAAATATAATAGGATATGTGTATGGTCAAAATAAAGTTGAAAGTAAAACTAATTTCAGCTCACTGAGAACACTTTTTAAGAAAAAATTTTCAAAAGTTAACGATACGTCCTATCTATTTCAAATTGGCACTTTAATCTACTAAAATTGAATGGGCTACAAAAACACGTAAAAATACGGGCATGTATTTTTAAAGGCCGCCAAAAACTTTTCTAATGAAGCATTTGGGTTATTCCAGTAGAACTATTTTAATTGTCGAATGTAGGAACTAAGTTCAGAAAATATGTAACCCTATAACAACTATGCCGAAATGCCGTACTAGTTAAATTCGGTTTTAATTGAAATGTGTTTTTTTTTGCTTTACTTTAAAGTGTGGCCTAAGTACATTTTTGATTTAAAAAAATTTTACTACCTAAAAAGAGCCATGAAATCGTATTCACTTACCATCACAACTGTAGATGCCGTAATGTTTGCCGGAACTTCGATCGCCGCACACTTTACAAGGTATGTCTAGCAGGCGATCCCCTGAAAATAAATAAGCTACATTAAAACTGAGGCATAAAGCACGTAGAAAAATATCAAATAAGTGATTTAGACTAGGCTTAACTGACATTAAGTTTACTTATATCAAAGGGTCTCTCGCCCCATTCATCGACGAGAGCTTCGCAAATGAAAAATACACATAACCAGTCTATTGTCCTTTTGACTGCCACACACACAAACACTGGCACATAAATATTCATCAACACCACCACTTCAGAGGTGAAGACTACGCAAGTTAGGCAAACAAATGCACGACGACTTTTAAACAGTTGTTGATTTAGAAATTGTCGACGTGACTCTCCACCCTTTTGTCTAACGTCGGCTACCCGCAGTAACCGAGACTTGCGTATACAAAGCAAACCCTTTTTCGCACTTAATTTTTCGCACCTCTCCCTCATCGCTCACCAACCGGAGCAGCCGCTGGCCATCACCGCTCGAGGTGTGCCGCAATTTCACAGTTAATCTCAGTCATTGGACAAGGCACGTAGCGTTGTACTTTATATTTAATAGAGAGATCCTTCAGTAAACAAGCGACACTTGTCAAAACAACAACAAAAACAAAGACTATACAACAGAAGAATGTATAAGTACATACATAAGTTACAACAAAAAAAAAAAAGGGAAAGAAGAGAGGAAGTGACATTGCGACTAGGAAAAGCGCGCTGTGTATATCTAAATATTGTCAATGATGCGTGAACAACAATGTCTAAGGTAATGATTACAAAACCCAGGCCATAGACGTTTGACATATTGCCAGTGTTTACGCATTTTTTTATATTGCATACCACTTTTGTATGCCTGCATGTACGCCTTTCTATCCCGCTTTTGTTTTTGCTGGTGGTGGCGCGTGCTGCCACTTTTCACACCCTTCAGCCATCAGCTTTTGTGCAGTTGCATTGCCGCTAGCGCCCGGATGGGTAGTTACACGGCAAGTACATATTGTTATTGTTTTTTTTTTTTTTTTTGCCTTTGTAATTGGCTGTTGCATTTGATTATTCCCATTGTATGGTTTAGTTTTTGTTGCCACTGCGTATGACAATTATTATTTTAATATTTTAAAGTTTATTTTAAAATGTTTTTGTTATTTTTATTTTGAGATTTTTGGCAGCAGTAAGTTGCCCAGCAAGCTTGCGTGATTGTGTGAATGTCTTTGTTTCTTTTTTCAAAATGCATTTGGAAATATTGTTTCATTTAATTAACATATTGCGAATGCGGCAGGAAGGCATGCGGAATGAGTGAATGTTTATCTAAGCATGTCCTGGGAATAAAGAATTTCACACGCCGCCGTTGAATAAGTCGCCATCAAAAAGTAAAACAACAGATTAAAAAAAAAATGTTATGATTCATTATGAAGTAAGTACCTGAATTTGTACTAAGATGCCCAAATCGTCCATATCTTTGATAGGTACATACAGTCAAGTGCAATGAGCTCCTCTCCGAAGGATGATTTCAACGTCATTCTTGACTTATTTATTACCCATAGATATCTTTATCGAAAACTCAGCTGCTAACAGCGCCATCAGATTGCGTACTCTGGGGTTCTGCAAGGAAAGACCGAACGGGCACGGTTCCAACCTAGACGAACTACCGTCTGAAATTAAAATGCTGCCCACTGATTATATCCAGTCGAAAACCTGGGTTCACCACAAACCCTAACCTATAGTTATTCTTTCGCCTACCAGACTATGCAAGCGTGTTCCAGGCCGAAACGTTTGCTATTAAGGAGGCAGTAAGGTACATAAAACAGTAAAAATGTACCGGCGAAAACGCAATTCAACATCCTTTCGAATAACGAAGCGGCCATTCAGGCACTCTCTTCTAGCTCTGTTAGATCTAAAGTAGTGGATGAATGTAGGAGAGAGCTACCCAATATTTTTGATCAATACGAAATTACCCTAATATGGGTACCAGGATAATTAAAATTCCTTGCAAATTTATAATGGACTAGTGAGCACGCGTGGCGTTAAAACGCCCAAAATTGAATTTAAAAAACGTAAAAAATATTCCAAATGTTAGTCAGAGTTATAAGCGATCGGAGCGCCATATTTCACCTAAAACCGTGCAGCAATTTCTGAGTGAAGAAAGGTCTCGAAAAGTGCAGGTTTTTAATTTCATAAAATTTCAAATCACTTTATACCGATTAAAAAAAAAGAGTGCTTAATTAAAAAAATGAAACTATTCGCTAAGGTCTTTAATTTGACCACCCATTCGAAAGAACGGTGCAATTTTAGTGACTATCATAAAAAATGCTTCTGGTACAAGATCTGGTTAGTAAGATCGATATGTCTTTTCAAAAAGGGGGTAAGCCTAATTAAGGATATTTTCAAACTAATGCTGTCATAAATCTCTTTCGATTGACATCCACATCTTAATATTGCATAAAACTTGTGTATCAGTAAACTAAATTCGACTTTTCAAACAGGTGGCAACACTGTTCAAAAGTATTTTTAAACTAAAATCATCTAAAACCTCTTTCGTCTGACATTGCGATATACTTGTATTTCAATAAATTGATGAACTAAGTCGAATTTGATTGTTAAAACACGTGGCAACCCTCCTTAATAAAGGTCAGAAATAAATAGTTTCAACAATTCATCCAACTTATTGAATAATTTAAATGCAACATTTTAAACACGTGGAAACCACCCTCTTCAAACTTTCCAAATGTTCAAACTAAAGATTTCTTAATATTCATTCGTTTGACTCCCGTATAATATTTGTATTAGTTATTGTATTGGACCTTTCAAACGGGTGGCAGCCCTATTCAAAAGTATTTGCAAGCTAAAACCTGGTTAACTCTCCTTCGTCTGACATTGCGATACATATTTAAGTATTTTTTAAATAACTGATGAACTAAGTTGTATTTGTTTTTTTTTAAACATGCGGCAACCCCGCTAAATATAGTTCAGATATAAAGATTTTTCAAACCCTCTTCGATTGAAACCCATATTTTAAAAATCCATTTAATTTAGTAAATAATTTGAATTTAACTTTTTAAACAGATGGCTACCCTCTTCCAACACCTCAAAAATATTCTTACAACACAAACTAAATATTTCTTAACACTCTCTCATTTAACATCCATATTGTGATATTTCATATAACTTGTGTATAAGGTAACTAAACGCCACATTTCAAGCAGGTGACAACCCTCTTCAAAATATTTTCAAACTACTACCTTCTGAAGCTCTTTTACTTTGGTTTGGCACCCATATCACATGATACATATTTCCCTTACCCAATTCTATTGATTCAAATTGTATTTGAATTTTGAACAGGTGGCAACCCTTCTTTAATTAAGGTAAGAAACAAAGCCTTTGAAAACCATTTCGATTGATACCCGATTTGTAATAGTAGATAAATTTTTTTAAATAATTTGATTATAGTTTTTTAAAGGGTGGCAACTCTTTTCAAAAAGGTAAAACCTTATTGCGCATCTGCAGCCCAAACTCTTTAATTTGACACCTTATTTTGGAAAATCAAAAGAACGGTACGGATATGAGGGCATTGATTACACTGGTTAACAGCAAAATTGTTCTCCAGACGCCACTATCCAATTCCAATGTAGAATTACTCGGTAATTCCGAAAATCGAGTTATTTTTTTTTCTATGGATACGTTTTCGAGATATTTGCAATTTACCGTTATTCAGCTTAAAGCAAAAATTTGTTCCTTTAAATTACGTACAGTATTGGACATATCTATAGCACCACCCTTTCAAAGCGATATTGTTTGCCACTTAAGTTCAATTATTTCTTTTTAAGAATTTTCAATTAAAATACAGTTCATTCTCTAATAAAACCCATATAAACCCATGTTTTAAACTTTTTAAAAGACCGAAAAAAAAAATGCAACAAACTTTCCGTTAAATTTCAAACTTTTTTCTCAGAAGCTCTAGAATTTTTTTGAGTACACAGTTTTATAGAGCATTAAATTTTAGTCCAATAATGTGCAAGTTTCAAGTCGCTAAAGATTACCGTTAATTTTTTAGAATTTTTTTTGTCTCATTTGCTTCCATATAACGATTAAACACAATTTATTTTTATATGGCAGAAACCCGCAACATCCTCGGCGAAAAACGGTAACGGTAATTTTTAGCCACTTGAAACTTGCACATTATTAGACTAAAATTGAATGGGCTATAAAACTGTGTACTCAAAAAAATTCTACCGCTTCTGAGAAAAAAGTTTGAAATTTGGGTGAGAATTTGTTGCACTTTTTTGCGGTCTTTTAAAAAGTTTTAAACTTGAGTTTATGAGAGTTTTGTGAGAGAATGAACTGTATTTTAATTGAAAATCCTTAAAAATAAATAAATAACCATGAGTGTCAAACAATATCACTTTGAAATGGGGGTGCTATTGTATTGGCCAAAACTGTATATCTTACGAACCAATTTAAAAATCTTAATATAAAGTACGGCAAATAAAAGCCAATGAAATCCTCCATAACCGTCTATACATCACTTTCCGATAGGGCTTATAGTTTCTGACAAATTAATTAATCATTCCGGCTTTTTTTATTTTTTAATGAAAAAATGAAAAAAATCTAACTTTAACAGAAGAAAAATTTAAAAAATAACAGGTTCTGTGCCAAATTTTGGCATTTGTACTAAAGCCTGTTCTGTTACGAAAAAAAAAAAATCAAGTTACTGATGAAGAAAATGGATGGATAAATACGAAATAATGAGTGGTCAAATAAAAATGCGCAGGATTATTTGCAAGGAATGAAACCGAAACCCAAACCGAAACCGTAACCGTTTAAAACCGTTTCGTTTTTCAAAACCGAAACCGAAACCGTAACCGTTATCTTGACCTGAAAAGGAACGATACCGAAACCATTTCAATCACAGGTTTCAATCGGTTTCCAGAAATTTACAAAAATAATAAATACAAATTTCTTTGAAATAAATGATTTATTTAACCAAAATCAGCANTCTTATTCTCTAATTACCAAATCCGGTCCGGATTGTTAGGGAAAGAACCTAGTGTTGATATTATCAGTGAACTGTAATTTTCAATTTTCTTTCCTCAACCTTTAAGACATTGTGATTTAAATAATATCAACAAAGTTTCTGTGAAAAACCGAAACCGGAACGAAACCGAAACCAAAACCGAAATAAATTTTGAAGAACGAAACCAAAACCGAAACCGAAACACTTGGCAAAACCGAAACCCAAACCGGAACGTTATTTTGAATCGGTTTCATTCCTTGATTATTTGTATGGAAATTGAGCACGAAAGAATGTTACTCATAAGCTACGTACACCTAAGTAACATGCTTTATATGCGGTTTATGGAGAATTTCATAGGCTTTCATTTGCCGTATTTTATATTAAGATTTTTAAATTGCTTCGTAAGATATACGTGATTAAGGGAACCAATTTTTTGCTTTAAGCTGAATAACGGTAAACCGAGCAATTCTATATAGAAATTGGATAGTGGCGTCTGGAGAAACAAAAACCAAATTAAAATTTGTGATCCAGCGTTATTAAATATTTGGAATCTAATTGTTCAACAGGTGGCAACTCTTTTAGTTAAAAGCCCTGGTCAAAGCAACATCACAAAAAAAATATAGAAAAAAGGTTTTTTTCTTAAAAGCCGTCGCCCCTCGGCGACTCGGCGTAAAACTGTAGGTCCCTCCCCTTTGTGTGACAACATCAAGGCGCACGCCACAAATCGGAGGAGAAGCTCGGCCAAACACTAGCACATATGT